ATATAGCTTGTGACCCTTTTGCATATTATCAGCTGGTCCCAAGTAAATCGCTTCAATAGTGCGTGACCGATGATCACTGCGAGTATCATGTCCATAACCATGGACATACGACCCAAGTTCAGCAACACATTCTTTCGAGTAATCAACTTGGCGTCGCAACAAAATCATATGAGGACTGTAATAAGCCGAAATACCCCCTTTGGCGGGGTAAAAGTTGGATGTCTGTGCAACTCGTTTGGCAATAGCTTCAGTAATAATCCTCGGAATGGCCTTATACGGCATGCGATGGTATTGGACATGGAACAACGCCTTGATATGTTGGTTGTTTCGTTCCGCCGTGGGATCGTGTCCCCCCCGGCTCACATAATTCATATCAACATTCATCTCATCTTTAACATCATCAAAAACCGGTCGAAATTCACCATCACAGTAGATAGTGTTGATGGTAAAGTCAGCATGGTTGTAAATGCGCAATACATGGTCGATTGCGTCATACAACAACTCCGCAGTCCTGCTTTGTAGTGGTACAAAAGTTTGGTATCGGATACTACCATCAATTGTAGTCAATCCGAATGTGTTATTGATGAATGCAATATCCAGATGCAAATTCAAATCAATGTTGTGGACCAACAATTCACGTCGGATCTCAACCCAATCATCCCGGACTGCTTTGGGGTAGGACGCTTAGTCTTTCCTTTAAGAACTGAAGCGCTTGGTCCATAAATCTTGTCAGCAATAACAATGTCCTCTTCTCTGATGGGACAGTTCTTGAATAAACCTGAGCGTACAGCAACTTTGAATGCTTCGATCCCTGGTGCACCACCCATGTGATACCCGGATCTTGCAGCGTTTGCGCGGTCAACTTGTCGTGAGGTGTAAGCCTCTATGTTCTTTTTTACAGTTTGGAGACCAGAGTAACGGGAAGTATGTTGACTAGTTGTATTATCGATGCCGCCATGATATGATTCACCCGGCACGAAACCACCGTGGGCTCTGCACGATTGGCAGGCTTCACCAGTCGGTCCAATTTCCATGCACACATTGCAATGACTCTCCCCCTCGTGAAGATCATAAGTATACAACCCATCCTTCTCTCTGTAAATCCATTGATTCCCATCTTTGGAAACAATAAATGCATTTTCTACGTCGGTATCCATCACGATACGATACCCTTTTTTTACCAATAAAGACGCACTGTCCACATCACAGATGGCATCAGCGTCATACTTGCACATATTATCCATGTGTTTACTCTCAACTTCATGCATGAGATTCCTTCCTCCGCCGACATTTGTTCCATAATTGAACATATACGGAAGTTCTTTTAATGTTCCCATCTTCGCATTCATCGAATCTTTGCGGAGATGAAATGTCGAACCAGTGTCAAGGGACGGACCTGTTGCACCCAAACGAAACCACTTCGGATCATGCATATCAAAATGCTCCGGAATCTTACCATCCTTATAATCATTTGAATCAAGATATACCAGATCGCCGCTATCCTTGTACCTAAGTCCCCGATGAGCTTGGGAATGCATGACCGCTACTTCCCTGCCAACCTGTACGTTGGAGCTCTGTGTACTTGCAACACTGACGTCCTCTTCGGCTGCTCTGACAGCATCCAATTGTACCTGCCAGTTTGCCATTATGTCGTGTGGTGGTGACGTCC